TACAGCCAGTAACATCACGGCAAAACTGACCAATTAGTTTATACAAACCGGACTAACAACATCCGACGACAACATCTATTAACTTGACTCTGATGATGACTTCCGCTCAGGTTGTGGAAACGTCAGTCACCAATACCGAAGACATCCTTTCACAGGACTACACTCACCCTGACAATAAAACTACACTATTACAAAAATTAAATTACAACTATTGTTGCCAATAAATGCGAAGAGGATAAAATGTGTACCGCATATCAATTGCGGTAAGTTTCAAGTGCCTAGTAAATATCATTCTATGGTCTTCTATTCTTCCATCTTGGAGGGTGCTTTATGTAAATAGACATTGAAGTTCAGTGCCTTTAGAAGCTTTTATGGCCGCAAAGATCAACAAAGAAAACAGCCCTACAAAAAATATTTTTGAGACACCTCTAAAATGATAGTTATACACAACTGACATGTATGAGTGAAGCATGTCCAGTATTAAAGTATCAATGTCAATTTACTTTTCATTACTCACCAACAGCTTATTTCTACTAGTTTTAAAAACGTCTGTATCTCCACTTCCAGAGAAGGGCGTTTTTCATGAAAATTTCAACATTAAAGACATAAGGTACCAGCAACAGGTTTTTCATTGTAAGAATTTCATTAAATCAGATTCCCGTCACATTTTTCTGTACCTTTGAAAGCATAAGTATATTTAATCACTACAATATAATGAAACCCCCCATTCTAGGCACATATGGTGGTCATATGAACGAAAAAGACAGTATATAAATATAACATCGTACTCCAGTAAAGTGTTCGTATTTAGAATGAAGTTCGAAACTCATTAAAATTAAGTTGACTTCATGATTCAGATTTTAGACAAAGAGATCTTCAATACTTTAAAGATGGAATTTAAAAAGTGTAACTTATCTAGTATTCACTGAGATTTGAATCATAGGCTGACACACAGAGATATAAAAGAGGCTTTGTGAAAAGAAAAAAACCGGGCCATAAAATTAAGATATCAGGAGTGGCATATGACAAGTAGTCTACTGATCTTCTCACCTGAAGTCAATCTCACACTTGAATTATACATAAGATTTAATTATTTGCAGGCAGTTTAGGGAGGCAATTTAAGTAATGGATATATTTTACACGAAAAGAAATCGTAAAAGCAGTTTTATTCTAACCTTCTTCCTTGAAGGGTGCCTTGTGTATCAAATGTATCTAGTTCAGTACCCTCAGAGTCATAAATTGGACTTTTGGGGTCACAAAATAACAAAGTAATCAAAGAGTTATGCAAGGTCAATTAATCGAGAGTGAGTTTCCTAAAATTGTATGAAAAGGTTAAGATGTGCTTCCGCATGTGCTACATACACGGATTTATTGTTCTTAATTCATAATAAATTCCGATAGTGTGACTCAATTAATTCAGAAGAAAATTTCCAAGTAGGTTACAGAAATGGTTCACTAATTGTAAACTGATGTGTTGACAAAACTTCCCGAAATGATGGTGCCGATACGAATTTATCGTTCATAATTGCTCATGAAATTCCGAGATTGTAACTCAGTGAATTTGACAAAAAATATCCAGGAAGGTTACGGAAATGGATTAAGTAAACCCTGCAATAATTAACTGGAGAGAGAATGACAGAAACTTGCTCACGCCGTTCGCTATCATATAAAAAGTTTTTCTAGGCAAAACATAATCCGTAAGATAGCTTCTTCCCCTTAAAAAACACGACTGTCTTAAACACTCCAAACGATAGGACGACAAAATAAAGATTGAATAATACAAACACCATGAAATGTTATTCGACCGATGAACCGGGGTGAGGGTTTTAAAGCGATGAATGCTAAAGACATTGTTTTACCGAAGCGCGATTTAGATTATAAAGTAAAGCTAGTATCAAACGACGATTGGTTAAAAAAGGTTTGAATTTTTCTAGTCCTTAGCGCAAGAGAAAACCCGCATAAGACTCAACTCACCTCCCCTTCTTTCTCGGATCCTCTTTGCAGTCTGTTTTCTGGAGCTCTTCTTATTTCCTTCCTACGTTGCTCTTCGCTGGATATTTGCCTTTTTACTTATGCCTTTTCTTGTTCTCTTTCGCGTTTCTCTCGCCGTATTCTGCCTATCTCAGCGTCCTTTCTTACTTCTTGGCGCGTTTCTCTCGACTGGCTTTACGCCTTTTACTTCTTGCTTTCTTTGGTCGCTCTGTCTCTTTCTTTCCAGCCTACTTTCACTCAAAACCTTATTTCTACGAACTTGAATTATAACAGTTTCCCCCGGTTGACAAAGATTAAGTACAAAGTAGGACGTTCAACACCAAAATACGTGTATGTCACGGAATATATGCAAGGTAAATTCTCTTGTTCCATCAGAGTAATTAAATAAGGAGTTTTCTCTGGAAACAAGTGAAGGATGACGTGTGTAAAAGAGATGATCGTTAACCAACTGACGACATCTACAGAATGGTGACAGAAAAGTCGAGAAATGTAATTGTGAGAATAATTTAATCATAATGATTGTAACAGCGATGGATTGATAAAAATTGATTGTGTGGGCTTACCTATAGTTAGAATCCCCGGAAAATTCCCAACATTGTCTGATCTTACCCTTTCTTTTACATGTAAGGCACAAAAAGTTGGAATCTCTGTTATTTATTTCTCTTGTCTTAGAGGCACAAATTGAATTCCCTTTAAACTCATTTCTTTACGTTTCCTAATTGATCCGGAATCGTATTGAGAGTCGCCCGTAACCAAGGTCATGTAGTTCCATGTTCCACGCGGTCAATACTGGCAGAGCCAATCTTTCTGAGCTTTCGATCGGCTAGATCGATCAGAGGGGGACGAAAATAATTATATGCTTTCCTAACCAAGGAAAACGTGTGAAATTCATTTATTTCAATCAGTCCAAAAGACTTGCGGTTTCATAAAATACGTTCTGATGTATTTTCGTTCCGAGACAGAAAACCTAAAGTTTTATTGTTAGGTGTTAGTGGGAGAACATCCTGAAAACAAAGATCATTGTGTTACAATGTAATGCTATATATTATTTAATTCATTTTCCAACACTTAAATGAATTATAAACACATATTTAGAAAATTCTTGCTGGATGCAAATTTTGTGTTTCAACATATTCTCCCTAATCAGATGAAGCTGTCCTCACCTTCTAATAAAATTGCGATATAAGGGTTAAAATACAAAATTGAATTAAATCACTAAAAAAACCAGTATGGCATGGTCACGGTATTTCATTGCCCTGCTTCTTGTGGTAATTTTGGATAGAAACCGGGGCAGTTCCATGCGAACATTTATGGGCCAATACCAGCAACCTTAGCTTGTACAAATCTGTAACTTGCACCTGTATTATATTAGAAGAAATACATCAATCAATTATCATTATATTTCATATGATACGAACGCAATTTCAGCTCGTTCACTGAGGCCACAGCGTGATACTCGATGATTCCGTTAAGTTTACTGGTTTCACGGATTAGTATTATCTTACGTTGTTTCATCACATTTCTAACACGTAATCTTTATTTAGCAATTCACTCCACGAACTTAAGTGACTCAGTTTTAAGCATAGAGAGAAAACAGTAAACTCTTCTCTCATTTTACTTTCTCGGCCTTAAACACTCTTTTTTGTCCAACAAATGATCACACTCTCCTGAAAACTTGTTATGCTAAAGGGATAATTGGTAAAATAGTTTTAACGAAATCCAGACGCATTTGACCACAATCTGAGAGAGGAAATCTTTAAGACACGGTAAAAGTTATTTCGGGTACATTGGGTGCTGATAAAAATGATTGAAACCCTGACCTTCATTCATGGTGGGCTTTATGATGGACTTAAAAGAAGTTCAAAACAAAATACCAGAAATTCTTTCCTTAGTAGAAAAAGTTACAAGCGCTAACAAAATATATTTCTCCTGTATATTAATTGGAGACCAGGAAAGTATATATTTGTGAAAAACAGAAAAGTATAAATCACTGCGGTAATACTTTAAAAAAAAAAAAAAAAAGCAAAACAAACAAACAAACAAAAAAAGAAAAATTCAAGGTGTATTTTACGGTGGGCACCTCAGAGCCTCTGAATACACAACAGACGGTGTTTTCGTAACTTAACTACCGCTCTCCCCGTTAACACGGACATCCAAACGAACTGGACTGAATCACTCCAGTCCAAGACGACTTTGTTACTTCGTGAAAGATGCTTGAGAATGTTTCATTTCTCAAATTTTTTTTAAAAATTAGCCGTCTCATCAATATTTAGGACAGTGTCCAGACAATTATGGGTAAATTGAGAACGTATGCTCTGTTGTCTGTTAATCCAATTTTGAGCCCTTCAAATTTTAAGTACATCGCCAAAAATTCCGTAAGAGGTTAGTGATGACATTTCCGTTTACGAATATCTATTCTAGTTTGGGACATAATTATTTTTGCCGGTCATTTTACACGTAGTATCTAATAGGAGCTCATCCGATCAATATGCTGCAACGATCATCGAAATATGATAAACTAATACTTGAGCGGTTACGCCATGCTCAGAAAAGAGGACTCCAACACCTTTACATGTTTTTCAGATCAGCGAAAAAAAGCTTCACTGCAAATATCAAAATGAGAAACCATTGTAAGCTTGAAAATCCTTGAGCAAAGGAGAAGGTTTAGTGGGTAACCATGGCAACCCACTTAAAAAGTGTTTTATATAAATACATTAATAACGTGCCCTAAAAATCTTTATTTCTGCTTTTGAATAATCTCGCATTAAAATAAAAAGCTTAAAAATCATCAGAAATGGAAAATACGGTAGATATAGCGTTCTATTGTAACCGAAAAGGAAAAAAAAAACTCTAGAAATAATAAAAAAAGAGAATCATACATAAATTCAGTGATTAACATAATTGAATTATTCTGAATTAATTTTGGTGTAATGAAAAGATTAACATCCAAATTTGAATCTAAAACAAATCTTGAAAGTCTCAAAAAGCTTCAAATGGGCAGTGCACATCTCATAGTTGCAGATGTAAGATATCAAAAAAAGTCCACTGGTCTAATTTTCATTCCAGTTGAAGAAGGAGCGCTGCCCTTGGCACTGGTAGGAACTAATTTTGCCCACTGGATATCGGCCCAGGTTTCATTTCCACAACGCCGATAAATACCGTTGAGATTTGACCAAACAGCACAATCACTATTGTTGCCATACCACCAGCCTCCGCCTCTATTTTGAGCACAATTGGCAGGATCTCTATCCCAGGTACCAAAAACGAGATCTCTGTGAGGACCGAGGGAATCATAAGAAACAGTCGCATCTGTTCCAAAACAACAACAACAAAAAAGGAATTCCCACTATATTAGGATCAAGATAACGCCTGTGAAGCCTCAGGCTTGATTTTTGTCGTAAAAAATAAACAATCAAACAGATGTAAACTCGGTTTAGACAATAGCCCTATACCGTTTCGATGAAATAAATTTCTCTTAGCATTAGATATCATAAACAATAATTTTAATGGCTTACGGAAGGACAATTGATTAACTTTATCGATCAAGGTAGGGAAAAATATCAAACTTTTTGGATAGATCGCAGTCGGGTAAATGATCAGATCTGACATTTTTTCTAAAGCCAAGTTCAGTTACTGTTTTATCTCTAACAGTTACGGAAGCAAACTATCCACAAAGGAGCGGGGACCCAATTATATATGAGTAGAATTAACAGCAAAAATAGCCAAACGGCAATAGGTAGGAACAAACCATTTTTTTGCAGGTTACGTGGGAGCCCCTAGATGATGAGATGGAAAAACTATGTTAAGACCAACGATGGGTGATAAAAAAGGTTGACTAACTTGTAATATTGCCAATGTACAACCGGTATTTAGATGTCTCGGTCCCAATCCCAAACCAGTCATACTCAGCGTGAATAGTTTTGCCAGTGGTTACTCCTAGATCTACTCGAAGCATGTTGTTTGTCTTGTTTCGTGTCAGGCGGTCTATCTTGTTCAGTCCGAGCCAAAATTCACCGACCAAGTTACCGAAACCATGTTTGTAGTCATCCCATGTGCGGTTAAAATCAACAGAGCCATCCATCCTCTTCTGGATCACTGTCCATCCTCCACCGGCTGTAGTTTGGTCACAATATACATTGAAGGCGCCTGAACCATCTGGGTCGATCGGGTAAACGCCGCTGACCCTTCGGCCGGATTTGTACAGCTCGGCACAGTTTTTTGCTTCCGTTAAAAAAAAAGGAATGTAATACGTGTAAACATAATTTTAAAAATTGCGTCCCAACATCTCCTCTATTCGACCTTTGTTGCGCTTGCTAAAAATAGTCTACCGCCCATACAAAGTTCCAAACACGAAAGAAAATTTATAAATAATACGCTCTTTGCTTCTCAATATCCTGCTACACCGCAGCTTGAACAGAAGATTGCATAACATAAGAGTTCCGCTGCGAAATGATTGTCATCTAGAATCGCAAGATTGATCTCTTAAACATAAATTGACATCGCCATCCTGCACAATAAGAATCTTGTGATGAAATGTGCCATGCTACACAATGTAATAACAAAGAAAAGATGGAATTATCTGAATACAAGTGAGCGAAGAATATCTTGCTTACATTTCATTGGTGTTCTGTTCTCTGTGAGAATGTTGATCTCAAATCGAACTTGAGTGAGTTCCTTCATTATTTCTTCCAAGCAGACGACAGTGTTCTTTTGGCAATCTATTGGGGCTGCAAGCGTTGATAGAAGAATTTGAAAATTGACAGAAAGAGCCAGAAACAGCCAAGCCGAACCTGGAGGAAAGAAGTCATTATGCGGTGTGAAGTCATTCGAGCTATATAAGTGAAGTTATAAAAAGAATGCCGAGTTACAGAATGAAAAAAGCAACAGACAAACAATTTAAGAAACTATGGGTGCCTTTGATTGCGATTCTGTATTTATATTTTGAAATCCGGATTTCAGGTTTAGCAATATAACATTAAGAGGCTGAGAAATCTGTCCTCAGTCGTTTTCATTAATAAATCGAACACCAGATATCACAGGCTTCCCTCTTTTGCTTTACTTAAAAAAAAGTGACTACAAACTTTAAATCCTGTAAGCATTGTTTACTTTGAAATCTATCTATCAGTCATTTCACTTCATGATATGATATGGTATGACGAGAAAAACCTGGAAGCATGCATGAGCGCGGTCGTTCGATTTGTTATCACTCGCGTGATTACGGACCGAATTGGACTCCACTAGGTCCTATTACCATTACAAACTTACAAACTCAAGGTGGACACAGATTGCAAAATGGACCATTGGGATTTCAAAGAGAACAATTTCTTACTTCGAGTCTGATACTGAATATCATCATTTTCAACTATGCCAGAGTGTTAGAAGTTAAACTTTAGTGGTTACACATCTCAATTTTTCTTCTCGTTAAGGAAATTCTTGTTGGAGAGGGCTTTGACACCTCTCCATTTTTTAATAACTCTTAAGAGGTCTTTTCATAGACATTACTCGGCAGCTTCTGCTAGTGTTGAACACTTGTTGAAAACACTGAGACATTGAGACAGCACTAACTGCTTTCCAAAGGACCAGAAATGTAACGCTTTGTTATACATCCAGAGGTCAAACGTAGTAAAAAGGCAAAACATAAAGCATTAACGACAGTACAGCTTTATTTCTCGTACACACTGCAGATATGCCTTTGAAGAACCGTATTTCCGGAGTCCTTTTGCTGCATAAGTTTTCGATTGGTTTTCAAAGAAATAAACAAGAGCTACTCTTTTAGCCAAAGGCTGCTTAACTACATTTCTAAGAATAAATAGCGAAATCGCTAGAAAGTCCAAATTGGAGCGTTTCAAGAATGTCACGCCTCTATCACACCATTGGCCTCAGCTACGCTCTGATCACGTACAAAACCTGAACAATGACCGCATACAATAAACGCATCCTGATCAGGACACATTTTAACTAATGAAAGTTCCTGTGATTACTAATCAGCCAATCATAATCGTCTTGGAGCAAGGGAGTGTATGACAGCTAACAATCATTCCTCAGAGATGGCTATTTACTATCTCGTATCCACTAACCGCGAATGTAATAAATGTTGTATTAAATTCTTTCATTTTCGATATTTTTGTGTGAGTGCATTAATTGCTTTGCACAACTTTTTCAAATTGAAACGACTAAATGTCAATGCCACTTGCGATCACCAAAGCGGAAAAATAATCGAGAGACGAATTCGTTCTACATAGTAAAAGTGATCAAGGGTTTTTTTTTAACCGAGCGAAGGAAGTGATCGACGAAAACCTTCGTTTTAAAATCCTGAACTGAATTTCTGCTCCGTACGTATGAATTACGAATTTCAAACTTACCGAGACACGTTTTTGTTTCGACGCTTAAAACTTTAAGCTTATCCTTAAGCATTCTGCATAATTACTAAAGGTTATGCTGTGTGTTGGGGAACAGGAGGAAACCGATATTATGGCTGCTCAAAGGGAAAATTTTCCTGTGGTCTCGAGAAATTGCAGGTAACTAGCATTTCTTTCTGTTGTGGCTCGAATTTTTGGAGAACATAAAACCCTAAGGTTGTTAGAATCTTTTTCAATACCACTTACCTCTATATTGCTACTAAATATGAAAGCTGTTGCCATGAAATCGCCGCATCTTTTTTTTTTTTTTTCTCAAAACCGAATGAACTTTCATTGCTGAAGCCTACATCGGTTTTTTTCAGATTAGAATATTACTTTTACTTCACATGCTTTTTATTCTCTTTAACATAAATTCTGATTCAAGCTGTCAAACGATTCCAACTGGAAGCACGCTAATTCAGAGTCATTTCTTCGCCGTGATGCTACTAAGAACAATTGATAAAGTCAAAACGAGTTAACTTTGTGAAATCTTTTAAGTCGGTACTGTGACGATAAATTTCTCTCCTTGCATTACTTTGGCGTTAGTTTTTCGGTCGGCGAGGTAAAGTTTCTCTTCGTTGGGCGATTTACTTCGAACTGCTTGAGTGAACGAACAACTTTGGACTTTAGACAGGCCAAGAGAAATTTTACAGGACTTACTTTCTCTTATCTTGGATGCCTCACAATATAATTATACGAATGTAATTCAGTGTTAATCCTGAGTTAAAATGTTTAAAGTGGATTTTTAAAGTAAATCGAAACTACACCTTCCAAGCTACTATCCTCGTTATAATGTTTTTACACGAACAAATCAAAAACAAGGAAAAAAGAAAAATGGGAAATATTTAAATCTTAGGCCAGGCAAAATTCGGCACGAAGGGCGATAAATCAGCCAATTATTTACATGATACTTTGAAGGAAGCTATTTAGTTATACTTCACCACCAGAGTAAAATTTCGACGGACTGCCTTTCATCAGGTAAGCCATCAAAAAACTTTCTGAAATGTCTGGAGCTCGAGTTCTGTTCCAAAAAATGGATGACACATGGTGGACTTTTCAAAAGTTCTTGCTGTGTGCAAGATTAGGAGTGGTATGGGTTGAAAGTTGGTACAACCCTTTGCCTCCTCAAATTCAATGCCTTCAGCTTAAATGTCGTGAATGTACAAAAGTCCTCTATTTGAAAAAGTAAGCATTACATCTAAGCACTGATTCAGTTTTTGACAAACCTATCCATAAAAGGCAAATTGTATATCAAAAAGCAACATTTCACATACCTATTCCTTGTTGAATGCCTCTCATTGTAATTGTTCGGAGGTTGTATGCAATGTTACTCAAAAATGCTGCCAAAAAGTAATAGTTGTGATGACGTCTGAAATGAAAATTGAGCAACTTTAAAGAAAATGTACGGGTGACAAGGTTTTGTCGAAACTGACTGGACTCAACTTTCCGCTGAGTTTAAGTAGCTGACAGAGCTGCGTGCACATATGTTCTATGCACCAATTCCTTTATGAGTTGTGAAATTCAAGCACTTCTGACGATATTAATTGCATCAATCGATAGTGGTCGTCAGGGGTTCGAGAACTTACTAGTTCGTGAGAGCTGCATGTGGCATTAAGGAGAAATATATGCTCGGTTTCAAATTCGATTAGGGGATTTGTGACTAAATGTGAAAATGTCGTTAATCCTCCATACACCGGATTCTGAAACGGTTAAGACTTAGCTTGATGTAGACCGGCTTAAGAGCTACGAAATAAGTTTTAATCGTATTTATAGATAATATCTATAAATATTATTTCAGAGTAGTCGTTGCGTATCACAGCAGTGGTCTACAAATTATTGTATGAATAACTAAGAATATTGCCATGAAAATATATTCCTTCTGCTACAATAAGTAATTCCAAACGGCAGGAGTACGATAACCGTCTTCTCAATGGAGGATGACTCTAATGACGGGGTTGAAATTGCGCTAGGTACATTTTGAGATTTAACTTGTTTTTCTTAAAAAGGAGTAAAGTAAACAGACATTCCAATTCCGTACGAGTGCCAGTAAAAGACGAGATGAACTATGATACTGAAATGCTAAAAGTTCCTTCGAATACAGTACGTTTTTATAGTGCAATAAGCATTAAAGCTACAAAGTATAACGGTTCAGCTGTCAGATAAAGTTAACTTCGGGAAATCTCATTTGTTATCATTCAGTTGTGCATCACAAACCGGGAAATCCTGTGGAACCGGAAATCTTGTGGGAGCGGCTGCTTTATTTAACACGCCTGAAATGATGGAATTGAGTTAGCAAAGTTCGATGAATCTGTGATTAAGGTCAACCCACAAACTGAAACAGTCTCCAATCTGTTTCCGTCAATGAGAAAGAATTTATGATAAGTAATCTGATTAGGTTGCCAAATAGGAAACAGAACTGGTGGTCTATTTTAATCACTTCCGCAAAAAAAAAAACAAAAAAACAGAAAAACACAGATGACAAAACAAAACAAGGCCACCCAATTTATTCAATTTGCAAAATTCTGAAATACAGCTGTCGATTGAAATATTTACAATTGAATTACTTAAACAGCATGTCTTCATCTATCCGCTATCGAGTGGATACCTTAAGCTCTTTGCGTTCAAATTATTATTAGACGCCTTCACCTAACTGGGCTCACCAGTAACTGATGTGTAATTCCTCCTTGCTGATGTACGGCTTACATTTCAGTGCTGATTAATTTGGAAGAAAATATTGTAAAATCAATCGAATTTCTCCTATTTGATCAATTCTTGTAGTTCTCTTCATCTGTCTTCCTTGGTAATGCATTGAAATTATAAAGGGAAGTGTTATCTGGAAGGGAGTTAGAAAGTAATTCAAGAGCAAGAGCTTCTTTTTCGCGCATTAGTTATTGGTGCGGCCAAAATTTTTGCAGTTACGGCTTAAAATATCAAGAGATTGCAAACCCTTATTCAAAGTTTAGTTTCTTTATCAATTTCTTTGTTTTGCCTTTTCGTCTTATGATATTAAATAGAAAAGGAATACCGTGGTACAATGGAATAGATTCTTTTGACGCTGTTTCACTCCAAAGTTGCAATTGATCATGAACGCAAAGTTTTTTCGGCTATCGCATCATATCAATGAGTATACATGTAAGTCGATTCTCGTCTCTCCCTATTTACCCTGTCGAGCTCGAACTGCACGAACTGCACATAGTCCTTTTTTTAATCACACAGAAGGCTTCATTTATAAAGATGGACGACATTTGAAGACCGATTGTAATTGAAACGAGATGGCAGATTTCTTCCTCAAGACATGTTCCGTGGTATGTCTATGACAGCGCGTCGAATGTGTCTCATTTTCTAACGGTAAATAATGGGGTTCAAATTTGAATTAACGAGTGTTAAAGTCAGGGAGATAAGATAATCTTTTTCGAAAGAAACCAGGGTTTCTGATAACAGCAGCGCATATAAAGAAAGGAAAAAGCAAACTATTAAAAAAAAAAACAAAACAAAGCAAAAAACGGATATATGTAGAATATAGCGACTGCGAATTTGACAATGGCGGCAAAGTATCTCACGTCACCAGAATGAGCTTTATCATGTAATCGCATAGATTGCATCTGACTGTTGTGCCGTCGAACAGTGAAATATACCTGATGTAAACCAAAAATGTAAGAGTGAAGCCAAGGCTACTCTCACGAAAACAAAAAGACTTGCACTAGAATTATCAAAGAAACAAATGCTCTATACATCCACATGGAGATCACTACAATAATCACACGCTTGTCTGTCACAAGTTCCTGTGTCTGAGACGAAGATTAACAGCTAAGAACCTGTCTAAAATAACAGCCACAACACCGAGGAACGAAGTGAGCAGAAAGAAATAGCCAGAAGTAATCAGCATTTGATGAGCGTTGCAGCTAGGGTTCTCCAGTTGAAGCCACTTGACCAGAAAGTATAAAAAGGTTGAGCAAATAAACCAGCGTCAAAATCAGAAATAGCAAGACTGAGCAACAATGTTTTAGAATTCTTTGGCAAAGATGAAGCTTTTTGCATGGAGTACATTATCGCAATGTTCAACATGATAGCGGTATAACTGAGGAAAACTTGAAGACACCCTTAACAATGAGAGCTGATCGAAGCTCGCTCAAGTCAGAAAGAGAGGAAAATTGCTGCAGAATATCTGCACAAAACGTCCCGTTCATCATTATTAATATAAAAAAGAACTTTCCTACCCTTTGTCAGCAAATCGTATTTTGGCCAGTGCAATTTCCATATGAATTTTCACAAAAGCAAAGCTAGTATTCATGATAAGTAGCCTTTTCATTGGTTCATGGAGTTTGATATAAAGCTTTAAGATATTTGGCTCTCTCTTGTTATCAACCACTAGTGATTTTTCTGGCTGAATTGAGGTTTTCATCAAAGTTTTGAGCTTTTTTTTGGTGGAGACTTAAATACCGTTATTCTTTAACCACATAAGAATAGGTAACAAGATATTTTTCAGGCAATAAAGAGAAGAACTCATTTTTGGCAAATTAAGGAATTAATTAAAACTTAATACTGGCAATTCATTGGCATCTTTATCTTATTTCAAGGTGAACGAATAACGAATTGACCTATTTTAGCCGCAGAAACTATCGATTACGTTGTTAAGTCTGAATAACCAGCAATGGCAGAGAGGCATATGTACATAATCAACTCACTCGGTGAAACTAAATTTATCTTGTAGAATCCCCCACCGACTCAGCACAACATTGTTTCCAGAAACGTACCTCTTTAATCCATTTTTGGTTTCTCAATGTTTTGTTTTGTTTGTTTTTTTTTAGATCAGCCGCCGTTCGTAATGTCGCCGGGCTATCTCACTCATTTCCCATCAGTCTCAATAAAAATGAAATTGACGTCGCTGTTGTGAATAAGCCGGTTTATGTCGACTTTTCAAGCATGGTAATGAGTGAATTTACCAAGGTAAGAACAAGTAGAGTACCTTTTTTGGAGATTTAAATCAAATAGAATACTAAATATATCATGGGTTGGAACAATCTCAGGTGGCCCAAGCTCACGTCTCGAGAAAAAGCCAACGATTAACTCATGAAAGCGTCACGCGTTGTGTGACTCGGTGTTAAGTTGCGAGAGGAACCGATGAAAGTTTAAACAAGTTACGAATTATTTATTATATATTATGGGGAACCAAATATGGTCGATTTACAACGATAAATACTTCGACATATGAATATTTACTCGTGAAAATCAATAAAACTTACTCACATCCTACGTGTCCGTTGTAGTATGTGGCGATATCTGCCGTTTTGAGCTTGCTTTACTATTACTTTTATTTTTTGTCGAGACGTGAGCTTAGACTGTCTATGGCTCAATTAGCTGAAAAAGTTCGAATGATAGTTTGACCGTGGAGGGCATGTCCATTCTTTTGATGTGACGGAAACCGGTGTTTTGGACATCTTTATTTATTGCGTTAGCTTGCACCGTTAAACGACGACAAAAAAGGAACTTCCACCAAAAGCCTTCTTCCTAATTAATTTTGCTGTAAAAGTTGGCATGAGTTTGAAGTCATAACCTTTCTTTAGTTTTATAACAATAATCGGTTTTTCCCGACGCCGAAATGTCGATATCTACTATCCGGTGGTTTTAACACGTTCATTAATAGCGGATGTTTTGTCAAATGCAGTCTACAGGCTTTGGAGAGCCGAAAGAATCACTTGAACCACTCTGGAAACTTAAAAGTCAGTTACATTGTGGTGATTTAGGGCTGTTTATCTCTTCCTTTGTTAAAAAAAAAAAAAAAAAAAAAAAAGCAAAAAGTCTTCTGCTTTAATCCATGTGAACTTAAATTTTCAGTAGTCTAAGCAACCACAGCTTCTAGTATTTTACGTAAGTCCATTGCTGATATGAAACGATGGTCAACGTAACAGCTGACCGATCATGGCGTGTCACAGTATTATACACAAAAATAGGTTTCCTTCAATCTAAATTAGAAATATTCAAAATATAGTTTGTATCGTAGCCAAACGCGTAATGAAATGTGCCAAAACTATTTGGCCATTTTTCTTTCGATCCATATCAGTTTCCAGGGCAATCGACAATTGAATTCGAATCCGACAAAAATGTTTTGCGACAGACATCAAGTAAACGAAAAAGGTTGTTCTCTTGCCGCCCTTGGAGGTGATAAGCCACTTGATTTCTTTAGCAAAAAAAAAAAATGTTATTGGGTTAGAAACATCGCAACACTTGATAAAAATATTTTAACTCGTGAAATAACTTGAACTTCTTGTTACATAATTTAGGCGGAGCCATTGAATATCATGTTTG